AAAATTAAAATGGCCATCTTGATTTTAAGTTGCACCAATGCGCCACTTGACGGGTAGTAGCTCGCTATATTAGCATGTCTATCATCTCCGCAATGTGCATTGGCATCTGCACGAGAACATCGCATTGTGAGTGGTACGCAGTAGATCGGCGAGTAGCTAGCTAAAGCAGCATGAACTATAATCAGAGTACTAGCCTATTTCATTTTTGCTTTGCGTATCTACAAGCCACACTAGCATATTGATGGTATTAGCACATTGATGGCTTAATGGAGTAGGATTCACATGTTGCCACGTTAGTATGTTAGCATGTTTTTTCCCTTCCGGCAGCGACTTCCTGAGAGGCAGTGACGACGTTAACAGAGAACTTCTCTCCGAACTGCTGAGCCTCAACCTCAAGAAGCTGGAGAAGGTCTCAACTTTGAATCCACCAATCAGCTTACCCCCATAATTGTCGTTGTTAGTGAGACATGGTAGTTGACGATCGTGTTCCATTGGTCTCAGAGTCACATGACACAATGAAACCATACGCCAGCTAATGCTTATTAAAATTTGATGGACATTTAATCTGATAGTCAACATAAACTATTAAACAGCTGCGAGACGGTTGTTTTAAAGCGCTCTATAAATACAGTTGAGTTTAGTTGAGTTGAGAGAATAGCGCGTCTAGCATGTAGCTACATTAGCATGTGAGAGCAAACGCTTGTGTTTTGTTGTGTTTCAGGTGCAGAAGAATCTTCAAAGACTTTTGGACGAGGCTATTTAAAGAATTGTGTCAACATTTAGACAAAAGTCATACTTGAATATATGCAGATGAAGAGACCAAAAATGCAGTGGACATTTTGGGAATTTGGAGCGTTTTCGTAAAATGACATTTGTATTTGGAATTTGTGAGTTAGGTTGCCAGTAGTTTCCAGAACAAAAATGCTAATTTCACCCGTAATAGCAAAATCTTTCAAAACTGATCACTTTGCGGAGGTCTTTAAATTTTTTTTACTGTGAGTTTTAGCTGTAGATATAATTCACTTGTTTTAAAATAATGGCTTGTGTGATGCGTTTGTCACGTGTCACTTAAAAAGATTGAGTGACGTTTTGAAAAGAGTCAACTTCCTGTCACTGATGATGTCATCCACAGACCTTTTTCTGAATGATGTCATACATATTTTCCAGTTGGCAATTTCCCACATTGCACCACCAGTAAACCGACCCTTCTAAGTCTTTGACCCGAGGCTGAGTCATTTGCGAAAATGGGGCACTGCTTGAATGCTGATTTTCACCTTCATCTCTACAGTCCTAGTTTGACCGTGTGAGGCATCAGTCTAAAGAAATTGCAACACGGGGTGATTAGCTTGGAAGCGAGGCAGAAAAAGTTGACCTAATTTTCCGACGCTCGGAATAATGGCACAGACGTAGTGCCGACGTTAGCTAGCAGGCCTGCGCTAACTGAAGCCAATTGAACTAACTGAACTGTGTGTGTAAGAACAGGTTCTTCCTTCAGCTAAGGGAGAACTGAAGCTCACAGTACGTAACCAAAACAAACAACCCTGAATGGAAGAAAACTAAAGCTAGCGGCAGGTATCGTGACATAACTGAAGCTAGCTGAAGGGAACTGAAGCTCACAAGTTAACAGCGGCTAATTGAAGCTAGCGTATATAAACAAATCTCATAGCACTCCAGGCAACGCCGTGAAGGCAGTGCGGCACCATCATTCTCCGTTTCTCACTGATCACTGCAGTACCAGCCTGGTCTCGCCCGGGCTTCATCAAATAAATAAATACAATATTTTTACGGTTACACACATCCACAAAAATCCCATTCATTCCAATGGGGAAGGCATTTTTCGATCCCAGGTCCGATTCTGAGTCTACCACGTGAACGCCGGTGGTATGAGCGGATGGGTGTCGTCTCGTTGCATCCAATTGTGGATGATGCATTCCTGTGCAACACTCCAACCCCGAGCCCTGACCCATAAACCGATTTGTTTTCCATCGTCTTTCGCTAACATCCACCGCTGACACACCGAGCAGATGCTCTAGGTCCGTGCGCCTACTCACGACTGACTTCAAACCCAAATACTATCCTCAACTGAGCAGGAATTGCACCCTCTGCTGGCCACATGTGGTACTGCACCCATCCCACTGATTCCTATGTGGGGGGACTTTTTTTTTTTTTAACCACACCTTTTAAAGCCAATGGCCTTGACACTTGTCCTCATTAGAAAGCGGGGTAAGCAAAGGACCGCTCACCAGCTAATGCTTGGGCACAAAAAAAAAAAAAAAAAAAAAAAACACTGGTCACATACTAATGATAGAGCAGATAGATACCAACAACGGACCGGTCGGCAGTCAACGGTAGGGCATATGTAGACAAAAAAAAAATAAAAATTCACATTTCTCTGGACAATTTCAAGTCTCGGGTCCCCGCACAGGAAATTTGAAGCCAGAAAGACTCCATGTTAGCATGGAGAAAAACTAAAGATGATGTCGTGCGTTTGGTTCTGCTTGTCCACTTGAAAGCAGCTGTTGTTCTCATGCTAATGCACGCACACGCACAATGAAAACGTCACTGGTAGAACAATTAGTCGTCTTTGCTGTTGATGTCTTATTATGTATACGTGCTTACTGCAAATGTAATGTAAACTGCAAATGTTAAACTCCGGCCTCGAAAAAACAAAGGTCCACTTTTGAGCGCCCTCTACCAATATGCTAATAGTTGGTATGCTAACATGTAGGAAGCTAGACACCGTCAGACAGAAAAAACGAAGGTGACAGAGAGTAGCTAAAATTGCTAACATGCTCATAGTTGGTACGTTAACATAAGCGAGCTAGAAAAATATAAATAAGATAAAATTTGATTTGAATACTGGCATCTTTCACGTGGCGCATTCATGCTCGTCTGGGACGTCGCGGCGGAGGGACTGAGGGAGGCTGGGGGCGCCGGGGGGCGGCTGGATGAACGACAAACAATAGAGCGTTTGACGGTGACGGCACAGCATGTGACCTGCAGAGTCACAACACGGGCGGGACGACGGAAAGTATACATTTTAAAAATGATTTCCTTTGACAACATTTTTTTTAAATACTTTTATTTTTAAGATTTTTTTTTTCTCGGATATTTATCAAACACATTTGCTGCGCTCTCGAAAAGTTGTTTTGTTTTAGGACTTTTTTTTTTCGTCAGAAAGACCCCATCTTCATAACAAATGTTCTACAAATGAAATGATACAAAAAAAAATCACATTTTAAATAATATTTCATTTATGGTTGTCAAGTTTTCTAAGACAGGTGCAAATACAAAAGAAAAATCCAATTTAAAAACAACCCCTCTCTCTATAAAACAGACATGATGCAAAGAATATAATGAACTACAAATAAATCGGTTGATATGAACATCATTTCAGCCTGAGAAATCATGTTAGTCTGGGTCTCAAAAATTAAATAAATAATAAATAAATAAATAAATAATAATAAATAAATTAAATAAAAGGGGGTCCCCCCCCCCAAAGAATTATATTTAATTACATTCTTAATTTTTAAAATGACTTTATTTAGGACATTTTCATGAAAAAATGCTGACTCATTTTGAAATAAATGACATTACTTTCAATTTTAGAATTTCTTTTAAAGTAAATTAAGTCCATGATTGTTGGTTTTATTAAAGCAAAACTTTTCAGTTGCCGTCCATCCGCATTGAGCCGGCCAGGACGTCCATGGGAGGGAGCGCGGTGGTTTGTTCTCTGAGGAGGACGGGGGGGGGGTCGCCTATGACAATAGGCCACTTGAAGGCCAGTCCAGTGTCTTCTGCTCGTGTCGCACTCATACTGACATCGGACAAACTTCTGGACGGGAAACTCGTTTGCTGGGATTCGAGCCGGCGCGTCTCGCTGTGGGGCGATTCCGCAAGGTCATCCTCAGGTGGGAACATTCCAAAGTCGTTTTGACAACCGGCAAACACTCCAATCTCACCGCAGAGAGAGAGTTTCCATCACTCTCGTAACGTTCGGCACCGTGTTCTCTAACAACGTACGTGTCGGCGCAGGCCGTGGCCCTCGCTAAACGCCTGAGTGGGATTTGTCCGCGG